GAAAGACCAAAATAGGAAAAGAACCAGAGACAGAAAACAGTAGCAGATATGACAAATATCAATAATGAGAATCATTCTGAGTGCCCATGGTCTCGATGCACCAATTAAAAGAGAGATTGTCAGAATGGATTAAAAATAAAACTCTGCAAATCCTATCAGTCTGAGGTCTGAAACACAGCTATTCCTGAAATAATCAAAAGGCTTTCTTCAGTACCCCCCTTTGAATATGGTGTTCCAGAAAGCAAGTGAAAAAATAATCCTGTGAAATGCTTACTGGTGTAGGATTAGTTTTCCACCATAAAAATGAATCAAATCATTTGATAACTATACATGAAATACAGACCCAAAATACGATTCATGCATGTGAAGAGATATACAATTGCTAATACGAAACAGAACCTCTCTCTGCAAACATAGCGCTTTTCTAAAAGACCATGATGTGAAATTTGATCAAGAGCCTGGTCATGTGCTTTGTTCAGCAATGAGTTCAATTAGAAATGCAAACATCACAAGTCAAACTAACTCCAGAAAGGCTATCAATATCGCTGTCAGTATTTACATTTGAACGTTTCTTAATAAGAAAACAACCTGTGTCTCCCTTTCAGTCTCAGAATCAACTGTGATGTTCCATTATGCCACCAAGGAGACCTATTCCCACACTAGGGAATAACGTGATGGATGTCCCACCATAAGGCCCACGCAGAAGCTCAAAGCCCTCAATGAAAAGATGTTCCTGTCAGTATCAGAAATAATACTGTAGATAGCAGTGGATGAGTGAGCGTACTGACTGACTGAATGTACAGGAAACATGGAGGAACAGTTGTCTTTGTATCCTACTGCATTCACAAAAGGAAACAAATTATCTTAGAAAACAAAAGGAAACTAGAGAAAATGTCCATTTTTTTAACCCTTTATAATTCTACATTATATTCATTTTTATAATGAAAATATGTTCTTGTGTTGCTTATGTTTAAAACTGAAATATGAATGCTGATGACAATGGTAGCATCCTTAGAGCAGAAAGAATACATTACACCCTTAAAACCAACCCCCAACCTTCCTCAGACAATTCACTAATACCACGGACCCACATAAAAGGCCCAACTGCTGAACCAAAGTCAGGTCCCTCTCAGGCAAACATCTTTTTTTTTTTTTAACAGAGTCACAATCCTTACATCAATTTCCATTCCACTTGCCTGTCCTTCCTGTGCACTACAGTTCATTGTTCTCACAGTTCAGTTTCTCAGCTGAATTTTGTGCAGCTCTGTAGGTATCCACAATAATGACAACATTTAGCTCTGTCCCTTAGGGTGTGGATAACTGGAACAGTTTAAATGCCTACATTCCGGCCAGTCTCTGACTCCCACTTCTACACCCGCACAACACCCCACACACTGACACACACAAACATGCACTCGGCTAGCAACCTATATTTCATCTTGCTGGCTGTTTTCCCAGTGCCTTACACATTACATCCAACACTGCCGCTGTTACTGACAGCACAGTGAATTACTGATGTATGTAATAAAATATCTGCACTACAAGGAATCAAAGGGATATACCCACTTGCCGAACTCCCTCTACTTGTTCTAATCAGATAATGGCTTTTTCTTTTCTCTACGAATTATTACAACTAGAGAAGGTAGCCTTGAGAAAACATATTTGTAAGATTGGGGGGAAAAAAATAAAGGCTTAGACCACTAAGATTAGAAATGAAGTTTCCAAAAGATGTGTGTCAAATAGCATGTTAATTCATCATTTCTATATGTATTCTACCCGACATTTGGGGAAACATGGAGCCCAAATTTACGGGGGACTGAGGGGGCTGAAATATCACCACAAAAGAGATTTTCTATGATTTATGTTGTGGAAAAGGCATGTGTTCATTTGTTCTCTCTCTCTCTCTCTGCTTTTTATTATAGTTACTGTTAATGATCTTATACAAGAAATCTGAGATCTCACTTTGACAAAATATTTGGTATAAAAAAATGAAAATAAAATAAAAATTGTTTTTAACAATTTATATCTTACCATGGAAGTGAGTGTGTGTGTGTGTGTGTGTGTGTGTGTTGTTCCTATGCATGATAAGTGCCTGTGTGTGAAGATATGCATGCATGTATGTGTACAATATGAATGGAGGGTCAACATTGAAACAGAGTATCTTTCCCTGATTGCTCTCCACCTTCATTTTGGAGACACAGTCTCTCACTGAACCAGAAGTTCATGGATTCAGCTAGGCTGGCTGGCTAACAATCAGAGACCTGCCTGTCTCTACTCCCAAGCCTGCCTCCATTCCCACCCAGTTTGGGGTTACAGACATGACTGTCACATCTGATGATCTGAACCCGGGCCCCTACGCTTGCCCAGCACACTCTTCACCCGCTCAACAAGCTCCCCAGCTCTTGAGTTCTGTTGTAAATTTTTCTTTTCGTGTCTTTTGAAAACAAAATGAAATAGCTGAGGGAATATAAGGGATAAAGATCTTTCTGGGCAGGTACCAAAGGTCAGAGTGAAAATAATTAGCCAAGAAACAAAGGACAAATGCAACAGATAATAGAAAAGCAGATGTAATTAGAATGTTATAGCATTAATAAAACTTACATTTATATGGTAAGCATAAAAATCTGGACATGTGCTATATATATATGTATATGTATATGTATATGTATATGTATATGTATATGTATGTATATACATGTGTGTATATATATATATATTCATTTCCCAAAATCCAGGCTGTATCAGTTATAAGATATGTAACAATTTACTTGCGGTTCTGAGCTGTTCCCTTACTGGTAATTGAGCATGGCAACAGTAGCAAAGTTACACACCATTCTAAAAGGTTAAATGGAATAAAAACAGCACCTACCATGCAGCGGATACCTAACAAATAGTGGCTCTCAGCACCTAGCACCCAGCAAATACCCAACAAGCATTAGCTCTCATAAATGCAGATTCAGAAACTGAGGCCTGACCTTGTGTTTCCTATGAAATAATTTAACTAGAACGTGACTGAAGTAACATTGGAACTTGGATCCTCTGAGAGTTTTGTCCATGGAGTTTCTTCCATTACAATCGTTTTATTTGCACTCTGAAGAGACTAACTACAAGGTGAAAATGACATGGCCAAAGAGCCCCTGAATAACGGTCTGATTCAAAGAAGAAAGAAGAACTCCACATAAGTGCCTGTGCACATAAACACACAAGCCAGCACACGCACATCCCAAAATGTGAATGAGGGTGGGATGACACACACAAAAGTTTCAATTAGACTTTTTAATGACATAATTCACTTGAGCATAATTATACCTCTTACTAAATGATTAATCAAAAGATTTGAGGAAAAGGTCATGCTGAATGTTAATTATACATCCTTAAAAGAATTCCAAAGATATTAACAGCCATATTCATTACAAATTAATTTAATCCTTAGGAAGGCAATTTGGCATTATTGTTAAAATTCAAAATGTATATATCCTTCCACTAAAAATATGATTAGAAATTAATCATGAAATTAATTTTTAGAAGAATACAAAAACTACAAAAATAATGTTGGGTATATGATTAACAATACCAAATTTGGAAGAAAATCTAAACATTCATTAATGAGAAAATTATGATCATGGTTAAATATAGCTATGTGTATGTATGTATACATATGTGTATATATATGTGTGTGTGCATGTATACCATATGTGTGTGTGTGTGTGTATATATATATATATAAAATGTAATATATTTGGTGATACAAAATAGTCTCTAAATATGAAAAAGGAAATCAAGCCAAAACAACTTATACCAATTTTTATAAACATATATGGATCTTCAAATACGTCTGCACAAAACCTTAACAATGATATGATGGTTTCAAACTGAAATGTACCACAAATGCGTGGGCATTAGAGTAAAGGCTGGACCTCCAGGGGGCGCTACTGGTAGCTGGCTGGATAATGAAGGCACTAATGTCATCCGTGGAATAATCCATGAATTCATAGCTAAAGGGGTGACCAGGAGATTGTGTTGGGATAAAGTGGTCACTGGTACCTGGCTTTCATTCTTTACCCTAGCAGGAACATGTGTAACTATGTCTGTCTGTCTGTCTCTGTCTGTCTGTCTGTCTCCCTCCCTCCTTCCCTCCTTCCTTGACAAAGCCTATTTAAACTACACAAATATTAAACTCAAAACTGAAAGAAAATAAGTAAAAAAAAATTCACCATTTTGTTTTTGTTTTTTAAGATGAAGGAAAAAAGGATGAAAAAGGCCCACAGGTGTACCTGGGGACAGGTGCACAGGTAGGGGTCTTGAAGCTTCCACTGAACCGTGCAAAAGCCTTACCTGACACTTGGCACTGCAGTATTTGGCGATTCGGCATTGAGAACACCGCATCAGCTTTTCCTTCCTGTTAAAAAACAATTAATTCCATGTTAGAAAATAAGTGGGAAACCTGTACGACTGAACAATGAAAATACAAGCCAAGACATTGATGCCAATAGCTCTGTGGACTCCTCATATAGGCTCCTTTAAGACTTCGACCTTTTTAAGGGCTGGAGTGATGCCTGCTGCTCAAGCCTGAGTGCTGAGTTTGGAATCTAAGCACCCACATAAGAGCTGGGTTTGGTGATATGCACGTATATCCCCAGTGCTAACAAGAGCAAAAGCCAGGTGGATCCCAGCGCATGCTGGCCAGAGTCAGCCTAGCCAAAGCAGTGAGATCCAAGTTCGGTGAGAGACCCTGCCTCAAAAACAAGGTGGAGAGCAATAAAGGAAGACACACAAAGCTGACCTCTGGCTTCTGTGCAGAGGCCCAGGCAAAAAGGCACAGTGGCTTCACACACACATACACACAGCCAAGACTTAGATTTCCAAATGGCTGAACATCCTCCTTCATCCCTGATGTGAAACAGCAGCGTAAGTAATACTCTTTGGTTAGGTTGTGGTGTAAGGTTGTAATGCAGCTATTTCCTCTCGGTTTGATGACGAATATATCCATCTTGTTACAGAGCAGCTATGATGATGTACACAAGACCCTTGAGAGATCCAGCCTACTAACCCCTTCACAAAGGGAGAAGACCAGATTATGAGACTCGGGAGATCCTGTCAGACCCATCTCTACCCTCAGAATTCCAATCACCACTACGTAAGTGAGAGTTGAATAAGGTAGAGCTTTGCTGTGGTATTAGCTGCCTACAGGCCACCTATGGATATCCTGACATTGTAGCTGCTCGTGAGTCACCCAGGTTCCTGTGAGTGACTTCAATAAATTCACCCTCTTGGCAAGCCAGGCTTGGGTAGACTCCTTTCTTTGGTTGGTCAGTGCCCTCTATCAAGGGCGAATAGTTCCATCCTCCCCACTAAAAAAAGTCATACGACAAAGATAGTCAACATAATTTTGACATTTTAACCAATTTTAAATATAGGGTCCAGTGGCATTAAGAAAATTCACATCTGGGGCCTAGGGACATAGCTCATTCAGTGCCTAATATGTATGAAGTCTGAGATTCGATCCCTAGTAACAGCAAAAACAGACTATTCACATGCTGTACAATCAACATCACCACTAATTTTCTTTTCAAGCTAAATTTAATTGATATATGACAATACTCCTAAAACTTCTATTCATGGGAGGGAGCATTGCTCTCTCCACATGGAACCCCAAGTCAAATGTATCAACTGGAGAAGGTACCGACTGAGCTTCTCCTATCTGAAATGTTTGGAACAAGGCAAGTGTTTAGAATTTGGGATTATTTTTCTGGTATTATAATATTTTAATTGAGATGATGAGGTGTTTCAGAGATGGGAACCAAATCTGAACACAAGCTTCATATACATTCATACGTACTTTGTACATATAGCCTGAAGTGATGGAACTTTTGGTACACTTGTGATTGAATGCAATTTGATATATAAGGTCAGCATGGGAATTTCCACCACCATGTGAATGCTCACAATGTCTCAGATTTTAGAGTAATTTAGGTTTTTCAATTATCTGATTGTGGATTCTCAAAATACATTCTGTACACTTTAAATAAATAAAGAAATTATGATTCATCTCCCCAGGCCCCAAAAATCACTAGGTACTGAGCTTAACGAGCTTAATAACATATACTCCTGCAAAGAAATGATTTAAAAACTCCATTAAATTCTACTTCAGACAGGCAGGATTTGGACTGAGAGGCATCAAAGTTGTTTTCCACAAGTCATCTGAACAACAACAACAAAAAAAAAAATCAGACATTTAAAAGAAAGGCTGAACCATAAAATTAAAATAGTGAGTCTGGTACCATTAATGGTGACCAACACAGAGAAGACTGTGGATTGGTGGACAGAGTCAAGGCAGGCCAAAGCACCAACCATCAGAATATAACGAAGTCAATGGGAAAACGAGGACTCATTGTGGGCATTCACTGGTGTGCCAGGCACGGCACCATGTTCTGTTTGTTCATCTGCTAACTCATGCTCAGCTTGAAAGAGTCCTAAGATGAGCAGTCTTAATATGTCCACTTCAGAAAAACTTAATACATTTGCAAGAGAGCCAAAGTAGACGCTGCCCAGGCAGAGACAGAGGCAGGGGGATAGCTGTGATTAACCAGCCTGGTCTACACAGAGTTCCAGGACATCCAGAGCTACATGTGAGACCCTGTCTTTACAAGTACATGCTACAGTACAAATCAGCTAGGGAAGCATGAAGTGACGGTGCCGTGCGACTCTCAAGGGTAACAAGAGCCTCACTGAAAACGAGAGTGTGAGCATCTGCTACCTTTCCGCTGGAGGAACTGGGTGAAGAGCAGGCCGTGAAACATGCAGAGGGTTTATGTACAGGAAAGGTAAAATGCTTCCCACACGCGACTGTAAAGGGGGAGCTGCCAACATCTACACACCAAACAGCGAACCAAACCAACCAATCTGGCCTTTAAGTTTTGCTTTTAACCATCACATTCTAATGTCACTTATAAACAAAATTGGATAAAAATTTAATTCACTCATGCTTCAAACAAAAAGACACGCAAGAAGGGAAGAGGAGGCTACATCAGGTAAACTATAAATACAAAAAATATATATATATAATTTTATCAATATCAGGAGAAGGATAAACGAATCATAGGAGATAAAGGAGGCCAAAGGGTAATGATAAAAGACGCCAGTCACCTCACCAGCGGTCACGTAGCCAGCAATAAATGTATTTTAGTAAAAGCTAAAATCATAAGGCAAATGTTTTAAATGAAATAGTATGCAATGCAACAACAGAATGTGTTAATAGAGCAAGAAAGAAAGTGCTAACCAACAACTCCTGCAGGAATGTCAGGAATAAATAGGACGATAACCCAAATTCATTCGTGATTTAAAAGCAATGCTGGGGAACGACAGCTACAACAAGACGTTAAGTCTCCAGACTTGACCGCTGACTCTCACACTGGTCACCTACATCTACAACCAGCGCCAACGGCTCCGAGATCTGACGTAAGTGAACAGCACTATAGGGGAGATAAGAGTCAACTACCAGCCTTCCAACAGCCCAGAAGCCAAAGTAACCCAAACCTGGCGAAAGCCAACCAACGTGGAGGGTGACGAGCCAGCCCGAGACCAGCATGCAAACACTGGCGAAAGGATGTGAGGGTAAAGACTGCCTGCGCCCTGGCCCGCCTCCTCAGACGCAGCCTCTTCTGCCCTTTCTTGGTCTAGCTCAATCAGAGGTTACCTCTGCTGCCTGGAAACAAAGATTCCCCACTACACAAAGTGCTGCTGTTCACTTCTAAGAAACAGTGAACGGAATCAAGATATCTAAGCATATCAGTGATGAAGAGCGGCCAGGACCAGCTCCATCTGCCTCCCACAGCTCCCGACAGTACATCCTAGCACAGCAGTGTGGCTCACTCCACAAGATGAACCAGAGTCACTGAAGAGGTTAACTGCTGTTTGCTGTGGCCAGAAGTCCCACAACGAAGCTTATTTAGATGGTCACAATTTTATAAACAAATAAATAGATTTTAATTCTCAAGTTCCAAAAACAAAGTTTTAACTGAATGTAAGAAAAAAGTTTTAAGTGCTTGTTTAGACCAGCCACTGATCCCAAGTAGAACCCTACTTTCCTCTTGGGGTGAGCTTAGGTGCTGGGGGTAAGGACCCCTGCTGAGAAGCTCTTGAACAACAGAAGAAAACGGAGGAAGACACAAAGAATCAAGGCCTGCAGGCATTTTAGAAAACATTCTCCTCTCTCTCTCTCTCCTTTAAAGCACATCATTTCCAAATGAAAAACAAAGCTGCATTTCTTGAATGCAGCAATGAGAAATGCATACATCAAATCAAAACCAGAAATAACTAGTCATCTTCCAGAAAAAGGACTGCTTATTTTAGGCAATTCCTGGGACTAAAAGGAGAAACACTGAATGAAAATGAACGAAGAACAGGTTTTATGTAAATCGTGAAGTTTTTTCTAAACGTGGCAAAACCCAAGCCAAGTGCCCCAGAAGTGCGAGGCTGCAGGTGATCCATGTGCGGATGGAGAACCCAGCAGTACATTGCAGGGCGGGAAGGAATCCCAGTGCTACAGCCAACAACTAGGAATTCAGTTGGAAGATAATGCAAGTTGTGTATATTATAAGGGGATAGACGGTTGTCTCAGCGGGGCAGAGAAGTGATGAACATTTCATTTTCAGGTTGTAGGAACATCCCTTTGCAAAGGAACTGTCCCAAGAATGACAAGGGTCTACTCAGAACAGACATTTGACTATGTCGAAGACCAGTACACAGACATTTCAATTTGTACACAATTCTTAGCACGTGCACCAAAACAATAAGCAGCAAAAAATGGTGATTTTTTTTTTTTAAGTTACTGAGAAGAAAAATCTGTGAAGGAAAAGGAAATGGGTCTGAGGCACAGCTTAGTTGGCAGAGTGCTCAGGGAGCACGCAGAACCCTTGAGCTGGATTCCCCAGCTCCCAGGAACCTTGTATGGAGGGAGGCACAAACCTACAAATTCAACATGAAAGAAGCTCTACAAAACCAAATCCAGTTTCCCAGTGATGGACTTGCTTCAAACTAAGAGGCCAATTTTCCACGGGATGATATCACACATCCGTTATCTTGAAATGTGGATAAACTTTCATGAAGGCCCGCCGATTCACAACCAAACATCATACACACTCCATACTCAGTTTTCTATCTTTCATAGGAATTTCTCACTGGAGGGAAATCTGAAGAAGTTAGAAATGGACCGGGGACAACAACAATAAAGAATTTTAAATCTGTTCTTCCTCTATTTAAGACACAAACACTAGTGGTCCACTTCTAACGAAAATAATTTTATTGTTGTTGTTGTTTTTGTTTTTCGAGACAGGGTTTCTCTGTGTAACAGCCCTGGATGTTCTGGAACTCACAGAGATCCACCAGCCTCTGCCTCCTGAGTGCTGGGATTAAAAGTGTGCACCCACACACCCGGCATAATTAAAAGAATTTTAAAACTATTTTTACTAAAATAAGTGAGATCTTTTAAAAGCGTACTCTCTAAACAACAACAGTTTTTTTCACTATTTTGTTTTGTTTTGTTTTAAAGAAAAGGCAGGAGCTGGAGAGATGGCTCGGTGGCTAAGAGCACTGGCTGCTCTTGCAGAGGTCCCGGGTTCAGTTCCCGGCACCTGTATGGAGACTCACCACCACTCTAACTCCAATGCCAGGGGATTCAGTGCCCTCACTGGGCCTCTGGAATACCTGTGGTCCACATGCATACATGCAAGCATTCACACATACACATAAAATAAAAACAAAGTTATTTTTTAAAAAGAAAAAAGCAAGAAGGAGTTTCCTCTCACATATTCATAGAGACACTGGGAGACGCAGCACAGTGTCAAATCTAGGGAGATTCTTAGGTCAGTCAATGTCTTGAGTGCAGTAGATCCGAGGGCACAGGCAGTCAAGTCCTTTCTCCCCAGGATAGCCTGGGCTATGGTTGATTTCTACAACAGTGTAAGCTACTGAAATGTGGACAGGAAATTAGATTGTGCCAAATTAACTGTCAGTCACAAGTCAATCACGAAGATAAGCGTATAGGGAGTCTATGGTCTCTGGAGTCAAAGGAATTAATGGGTACCCCCAAATCTCAGTTGATCAGGAATCTCTCTTTCCGTGGGTGGCAACAGGAAAGACTACCTATGGCACTAAGACAATGAAGCAAGTTATCAGGCAGTAGGAAAGAAGCTTCCAGAATTCATATAGAAAACACAGACCAGGCCGGGAAAAAATGGTTCAGTGGTTAAGAGTGCTTGCTGCTCTTCTATAAGACCGGGTCAGTTTCCAGAACCCATGTCAGTCGGTTCACAACCGCCTGTAACTCCAGCTCCAAGGCATTTCACACCCTCTTCTGGCTTCCACAGGCGCACGCACACACATACGTACACACACACACACACACACACACACACACACACACACACACCACAAATAAATAAAGAGAAGTTTTAAAAGTCATGTTGTCTCCCAGTTCCCCTCCACCCCTGGCTTATACAAAACCCACTTTAAATGTCTCACACAGAACAAACTTCATCTAGAATACAGATGCATATAATACACTTATTGTACGGGGCTCTTTTAAGTGATTTTCCTACTTCTCTAGAAATCTCCCAGTGTGCCTGACCCATTATGGAAAATAACTGGCTCAGCACTGAGCCTCTGGGCCGGGCACTGCCTGTGACAATGCTCGGGAGACAGCAGCCCTCCCCTCTCTGAAGCGCACCACTCCTGAGCCTGGTCTACGCAGAAACCGCTCCACCATGCAGCATGGGTCCTTCCAACCTCACCTCTCAGGTTTAAGACCCACACCCAGTGGCCTTCAGAAAACTGAATAAACCCTCAAAATTCAGGGTTCAGCATGTGGTTGATGGACACAATGGAAAGAGATCTTAGCTGAGAAACAAGAGAATTCGGTAAAACTTAAATAATTTAAAATTGACAGGAAGAATACTGATTTGGGCAAATTGACTTAACTCTACACACCTTAAAACAAGCTATAAGGATAATTCTCTAGGTGGAATTCCTAGGGAAATACTGTTCACACAAGTGAGATATAAAATGGTTTGTGGGGGAAATGCAGATGAGGAGTCCGGAGTGCTCAGATGAGCAGCTCTCAAGAATGAAGTCCACGGAAAAAAGCATGCCTTTTTTTGACACGGAGAAAGCCTAGGATAACTAGATAAATGAAGTCTAAATAGATGATTTTCATGCAAAGAGATCATAGTAATATTATATCTTCACAAAATTTTCATGCTTATATCTGAAATCTAAGCATTAGGATTCATTAAAAATGGCAATGCCGTATGGCCAAGTGCTTGGATGTTTCTTTGTGGAAATTCTACACTATGAGAAAAAGATTATTTCAATTAAAATCATGCTATTCTTCCAGAGCAGTGAAATCGCTGTACCTCTAACTAAACGAAAGATGCTAGAAAATGTTAAACATAAGACCTCCCTTTGGCGTGAATATTCACAACAATTTAGAGACAGGATCTTCTGGGTTTTGTTGCCAAATAGTAATTACGTTGGTTTGGGCCCAAAGGCCTTTTTCAAAATTAAAGAGATTCACTCTCCCATCCATATAACTAACAAATGATTTTTAATACAAAGCAACAGATGTGGTCAGAAGAATATAACTCCATGAGAAACGGAAAACAGAGCTGATTTAGCTTCTTTTCCTGTGTTCCCTGGCACTGTATTTCACAATTCTAGCATATAACGTAGAAAATTAGAAAACAAAATGACTAATACTTCAGGGAAACTGACTCTCCTACTCACTGGCACCAAACCCTCCCGGAGGCAAACAAGCAATCTAAATCCCCTAACTCTTAAACAAAGGGACAGCAAATATCTGGGTCATGCTAGTCACGGGAGGCGCTACCCGCTGCGACTCTCCACTGTCCGCAGATCTCTAAATTAAAGCCATTGTCTTTCCAGCTAACGGGTACACACACTTCAGTGTTCCATGAGTGAGACCACGTTAAAGCCTGTGCGCACGACTGTGGGGAGAGCAATGTGGTGATTGCTCCTGAGCCACCACGGCCAAGATCGGTTGAATGGGCACTGGAAGAAAGAACAGTGAAAAGAGACTTCTGAGAAGTCATGGGGCTGCACAAGACCCGAGTTCAAACAAAAGAAGTCACTTTCTCCTGGAGGGACAGGGGTGGATGCTAGGGCTGTGGTACGGGAAAGGAAGTTAATTCCTTCAGCGATCTGAGTTCGCATCTGAGGCCTACCAACTACGAACAGTGCAGGGAGGACACGCCCTTAGCTCCCCTTCCTCCACAGGAAAGAGGCAATGTGTGACCACTGTGCAGACCATGGCAGATGATTACAGAGTGAATACAAAACACTGCCAACAGGCTATCTACCAGAGACATGAGCCAATCAGCTACACGTCTTTTCAAATGGTGGTGATTTCATCTAGCTCTATGCCATATAAGATCATTTCATCCAAGTAGATAGGCCACATCAGAAAGGGAGAAAAACAAGTTTTTGCACGCCTTTCCCAGGACTGCTGGAAAAGCAAAATCTACGTGTGTCTAGTAGTGTTCACTCAATCAAACTGACAGTTCACAAGTTATTACTTTAAAATTCTCATGACCAACAGCCAAGCGACCTAGTCTTAAGTGTTGCCCGGCATCCTGTGTGTCACGGCTTCCTCTGTTCACCAAGCTTCCACCCCGATTGATTTCAATTCAACTCCAACGGCTGACGAGACTGTCTGATCAAGGTCTGACTTGGAAGCAGTAAAAATATTTTTTGAATCTCTCCTTTATGGAAATTCAAGCCAGGGGAGACTATTAAATCTCCGATGATACTAAAAGGCAATTATGACTCGCACTTTCCATTTGCCTTGTGCAAGGTATCTGAAACAAGTTGAGGGGCAAAGGAATATTTTCTTCAAGAGCACAGGTTTAAACTTCCCCATTATATGAAGAATTGTCTGCTACAAGGTTTTACAAGTTGTAAGTCATTTTGATAGCTAGTATTTGAAAATTGCTGACACTCTTGGTACTGAAGTATGCTAGGCCTTTTTTTTTCCCCTGGCAAGACAGACAGACAGACAGACAGACAGACAGACACACACACACACACACACACACACACACACCTGGAGGCAAAATACAAAAAGGATTTTTTTTCATTGATCCTAAAAACCTTTTCAGCCAACTCTAGAAATTCAACTTTGATATCCTAAAAGTATTTGATTCTCCCTAAATCTTGAAGTCTAAAATGGTAAAAACACCTCTAGCTCTGACCAAAGATTCCAATCAAGTGTCACTTAAGTATTGCTACTACAGACACCACACAGCACAACCACTAAAAGTACCACAGGTGACATTCCAATGTGCTCTAACACACCAGCGACGTTTTACATTCCAAAACAACTCATTTTATTACTTTCTAAAGGTATTTTTTTCCCTTTTCTTTCCTAAGGTGCTTCAGACAGGACCCAGGATCCCACACAGCCTAGGCGAAGATCGAAGACCAAGTCCATTGATGGTTTCCTCTCAACTACAGCAATGTGTCTCAGCATCCCTTTCGTTTCTGCCTTCCAAAAGTAAGATCAAGCCAGTCACGATGGCACACATTTTAATCCCATCACTCAGAAGGCAGAGGAGGTAGGGCCTCTGCGAACTGGAGGACAGTCTGGTCTGCAAAGCAAGCTCCATGTTGGCCAAAACTACACAGTGAGACCCTGTCTCAAAAAAAAGAAAGAAATTAGGATTTAAAACAAAAATCCAATAATATGAAATGACTAAAATCTAATTCTTAATAATTTTACATATAAATATTTAAGTATACTATGTATTTAGAAACACAGATATGATTATATTATTTAAAAATCCATTCTATCCGACCCTTGAGTAAAGACTGCCTCATAAATATATACTATATAATTCAGATACAAATATAAACATATACTTTTAGTGTTAATTTAAATCACAACTCATTTGACCTTTCCATGTTGACAGAATTGGTTCTGTATCTACACAATGGCCACCAGGTTAATTACAATGCTCTTACTATTATGAGCCAAACTACAATGAACCCCGTAGAATGTGTATTGTGGGACGTGAAATCGCTGAGTTGTAAGAACACACACGTGGACAATTTTGTACATTAACAAATGGCTCTCCAACATGGCTGCGGATATCTACACTCCCATAGCAGTGTAAAGAGTTGTCCTGCATCCCTAGCCTATCAGCTCCTGATACTGCCAGTCAGTGGGCTCACTGCCAGGCAGAAGATGTGACATTCTGCTTTACAATGTGTTGTTGGGCTCCTCATTATGAATGGTCGAATTAGAACATCTTTACATGTCCATTCACTATTATGGCTTCTCTTATGTGAACGACCTGTTTATATCACTTGTTCATATTCACTGAGTTTTCTCATGGAGTATCATTTTTTGTTGTGTGTACCCTTCATAAATTAATTTCTCTAAGACTGCATTTCTTCCTCAGCAAAGCCCTAAGAGAAATCATTGACACTACAGTCACATTAACCTGGGATTGAATTGTAGTTCACCACTTACATGGGAGTCCAGCTCCAACCTGCCGAAGGGTTCTTGGGGGGAGGAGAGAGGAATGAGGAAGTATTAGCTAGAAATATAGGAAGAGATGACAAGAAAGACAGGACACAGGACAGCTTGGGGTGGGGGGAAGCCTGGGTCAATAACCAGCCGCTTCAAGATCTACTCTTTTATTTATTTATTTAGGTTTTTTTTTTTTCAAGACGGTGTAACTAGAGTTTTCCTGCCTTGTCCACAGTCAGGACAAATCTTTGTCACCCACCAGTCCCACAGCCGCTCAGACCCAACCAAGTAAACACAGAGACTTATATTGCTTACCAACTATATGGCCATGGCAGGCTTCTTGCTAACTGTTCTTATAGCTTAAATTAATCTATTTCCATAAATCTATACCTTGCCACATGGCTCGTGGCTTACCGGCATCTTCACATGCTGCTTGCCATGGCGGCGGCTGGCAATGACTCTTTCTGCCTTCCTGTTCTTTCTTTTCTCCTCTGTTAGTCCCGCCTATACTTCCTGCCTAGCCACTGGCCAATCAGTGTTTTATTTATTGACCAATCAGAGCAATTTGACATACAGACCATCCCACAGCAACAGGGTTTCTGTGTAGTTTTGGTGCATGTCCTGGATCTTGCTCTGTAGGCCAGGCTGGCCTCGAACTCACAGAGATCCACCTGGCTCTGCCTCCTGAATGCTAGGATTAAAGGTGTGTACTACCACTGCCAGGCCTCAAGATCTATTCTAATGGGATTTTTATACATTGCCAAGGGGAAAGGAAAAAGACTTCCCCCTTTCAAAAATCAATGTATAGCCAAGTGTAGACCCTTCAAAACACCTAGTAACCATGCCCCTGGCCAAATCATCCCATTATGCAGCCCTGCTGGGTAAAGCAAGCTCAGATTCTCTGACCTTGAATAAGGCCTTACTAGGGAGCCTCTGAGGGCTCCAACACACTTAGCTATACAACACTGGGTAATTTAACCACATTGAACTAAAATAAAATAATAGAACAGGTTAGCCATACCTTATCAAATAATCCAAAATCTAAATTGCTCTGAAGTCACAACCATTTGGGAAGGCTAATATCACTAAACAGATTTTTTTTTTATAAAACTTTTACATACTTTTATCTGAAAGGAAAGACTCAATGCATTGGTGACTTTATACATTGCTGAAATACTTGACATAAAGTGACTTAAGGAGGGAAGGTTTATTTTGGGTTACATTTCAAGGGTAACATGCATTCTGGCAGGAAACCACGGCAGGAGGATCATGAAACAGGCTGGTCACGTGTGTCCATACTCAGAAAGTAGAGAGACAAACACAGTACTCGGCTCTCTTCCTTCTTTTTATTCAGTCCAGGACCCTGGCCAACAGAAGGTGTCACTCACATTTAGGATAGGTCCTGCCACCCAAATTTATCTTACCTAGACATTCCCTTACAGATACATCCAGCAGTTTATATTCATGGAGCTTCCCAATCTTGTCAAGCAGACAAATCAATACCAATCACTCCCAAAGACAAGAGAGAAGCAAATATTTTTGGTTTCCTACCTAGATGATAGAAGAGGCTAAGAAAATTTCAACACATCAACTTTCTCTTCATCCTACACATTAGGCTGCTATGAAACATCTTTCACTACAGAAAAGTCAATCACCTCTTTTCAGGTAAGTTCACCCATTTCCACACTCAGCAATCCCCCCGTTTATTGCTCATTTATAATAGTCTCGGGAGAAGGAAATGTGTAACTGATCAGCCTTGACGAACTCAAAGAATCCCAATATAGCAGTAAATTAAAACATCTATTTTCCCCAAGAGAAAATTAGAGAAACAATTTTTAAAATGTCATTACTTGAATGCTTTTTCACAATCATGTGCTTTTTGAAATGGCAAACTCTAATTGTCTCTTAAAGATCTCCTTTTGAATGTCACATCCTCCCCGTGGTTGCTGCTCTTGCTCCTGCTGGCCCAGTTAGATCACTGTGGCATTCTTAGTTATACCACGGGTTGCAGAAGGTGCTGGGGCTTGAACTCCGGTCATCAGGCTTGCATGGCAACCTGCTGAGCCATCTCATTGGCCTTTTATTTTATTTGCTATTTTCTTAATAACTTGTTACTTCTACCAACTTCAAGCTGATTTTTACAGCCACATTTTCCCCTCAATGGAGTAATTTTGAAATCAAAATGACAAGTAAAAATAGAAGATGCTTTTAAAATGTGTTTTACAGTGAATTTTTCAACGTGCATCTGTCTCTCCCAAAAGACAGCTGCCATGAAGTCTGGCGTCCCTGAATGCTTTAATTTACAGTGTAAAGTGAGTCCCAGTGAACTGCTCTCTGACTGGGTGGCCAGAGCTTCCGGCCTCACTCTTTATCAAAGCACGGCCTCTGCATTCTCTTCTTCCTTTATTTCTCAGTATCTGATATCTAGCCAAGCAATTGGCAGGTAACCTAGAATCAGTCAGTGAATGGACAGGTGACTAGGGCAGTTCGGCACAATGAGTATCTTTTAAAAAAAGAACACACAGCTTTACACAGAGACATGACCTTCACCTTCCAACCCTCAAATGTTCCCTCAGCAGTCCTAAGAAGATGGTTGTCACAGTGGCAAAACCCAAAGCCCCTACGATCAGCCGAATAAAACAGTAGCAAAGTTCCTACTGTCACACCCAGACATGATGTCCACACTATGATTCAGGAGACATTTCAATTTGGTAGCCCGGGCCGGAAACATCAAGTGTGCTCCCACTGAAAGTGAATGAGACAACGGTACGAAACCGTCACTTTCTGAAAGGAAACCCCCAGACAACAGAAAGCGGGGAGGGGGTAGAAATTAAGAAGACGTGTAGAACCAGGCAGTGGTAACGCACACCTTTGATCCCAGCACTCAGGAGGCAGAGGCAGGTGGATCTCTGTGAGTTCGAGGTCAGCCTGGTCTATAGAGCAAGTTCCAGGACAGTCAGGCTGACATAGAGAAACCCTTTCTTGAAAGAAAAAACAAAAAAAAAACATCATGATGATGATGATGACGACGATGAAGAAAAAGAAGGAAAAGGAGAAGATGTTGATGATGATGACAACAAACGTAGATGTAACCGTCTTGTTAAATAAGAAACACAGAGTCAATGCAGAGATGAAAGCCCAAGAGGTCAGAGCAATAGCTAAGAGCTAAAAACCTTACCCTTCACTGCCACTGCTGTCCTCCTCAGCAAGTGCGCTACTTCCTGTGTATCTGTCTTTATATAGACTTTCTGTTCTGCCTTCTCATTGGTTGTAAACCCAACCACATGACCTCCTCGTCACTGCCTGTCTGTACAGGCCTCCAGGTCTTCTATGGTTGGTATTGAGATTAAAGGCATGTGTCTCCATGCTGGCTGTATCCTTGAACACACAGAGATCTGCCTGTCCTGTGATCGGGATTAAAGGCATGTGCTACCACTGCCAGACTTCTGCTATGGCTTGCTATTAGCCCTGACCCCCAGGCAACTTTATTTATTAACATACAAATAAAGTCACATTTCAGCACAGATAAAATACCATCATAGACAACGTCATATAGAACACTCTCAAGCTGTAACTCTCTCCTCACTATCTTCCCAGACATACAACACAGCCGGTTGCAGAACCGGCTCACATTACTGAAACACCACAAACACTTTTAGTCCTCGGCACAAGTGTCTAGAAACTACTTGTGTTTATATAAAGTGAAGCTATTAATATTTCTCTGCAGCAATAATTACATAAAACAGGGCCTAAAACAAACACAAATCAAGGAATGGCGTTCCCTGAAGCTGTAGTGTATACAACTATAAACAGTTGATTCCATACTCATGAATGGGCTTCTTCACTATGGAAGACCCAAATAGAATAAGAAATGGAGATGTGTGAAAACTGTTTGCTTTTAATTCTAGCTCCTTCTGCTGTATCACATTTTGCACAGAGAAGCATAATGTTTTATTCCACGTGTGGGAAAGCTCTAGGTTATTGGAGATCTCAAAGTAAATGGAGGCAGGCCAAGGTTGGGGACGGATGTGTGGATAACTTTTCTTTGCCTCTGGGTAAGGTCCTTGGGTACCATCACTAGTTTTCCATCATCCACTCCCTACAACTTCAGAAAGGTACCAGCAATCATCTCCCTTCACT